TCGTCGGCTTCGCCGCCGTCGGGGTCGCGGTCGTCGGGGTCGCGGACGGCGCCTTCGTCTCGGGAGACGGCCTGGACGTGGACGGCGCGACCGACGGCGGCACTATCGTGGGGCGCGGGGACGGGGCGACCGTCGGCGGCGTCGTCGTCGGCGCCGCGGTCGTCGGGGTCGCGGTTGTCGGGGTCGGGGACGGCGCCGGCGAGGGGAAGAAGGTCAACGCGGCGCCCGCAGCCGCGCAGGTGCAGCACGTGCCCGGGCAGTCGTAGAGCACGCTGAGCGTGCCCGTGGCGTGATCGTCTTGCCCGTCAGCTTTTTCGGGCGGCGGCCCGGAGCCGGAGCTGACCACCGAGACCACCAAATCCTCCGTCGCGGCGTCCTCCAGGTAGAGGTACTCGTCGTAGTAGGACGCGTCTCCGACGACGTTGTAGCTGCTCCCGTCGTAGTAGGGCCCCACCGTGATGTCCGCGTCGCAGCCGTCGACGCAGAACTCGAAGGTCATCCCGGCGTAGGTGAATTCAGTTAACGAATCGGCCCAGTTCGTGCCCGTGCCGTAGTCGAGGAGCACGACGCCGTCGGAGGTGGCTAATTTCAAGTCGATGTCCCCCGTCGCGTCCAGCTGGATCCACGTGCGCTCCTGCCCCGCCGCGATCGTAAAGACGGTCTGCGTCTCGCCCGCCGCGACGTCGATCTCGTACGACGTGACGGCGTCCGTGTAGACGCAGAGCGCGTCGACGGTGCACGAGGCGTTCGTGCTCTCAGCGGAAACCGACGCGAGCTGTGTCCGTGTCTGAATTTGCGGCGTGCTCCCACGGAGCACGAAGAGCGAGGACGCCATGCAAACGACGACGAGCGCCGCCACCGCGGCGCGTCGTCCCAACTTTTCAGCCTCGTCGCTCGTCGCGCCTCTTGTGGATCCATAGGCCCGACCTCGCCGGGAGCCAACCCGCAGCAGCGGCGCCTGTTCGCACCGCATCGGGGCCGCTAGCCCGGTGGGGCAGCCATAGCTCGGGCAGCCGTAGCTCGGGCAGCCATAGCTCGGGCAGCCAGGTCGGGCAGCCGAGAGAACTGCACCCAAACATGACGCAAGAGCAAATATCCGAAAGATTTAAGTTCTAGCCGGGGGTCATCGGCACGCGGGCGGCAGCTCGTAGTCGAAGCAGTCGTAGTCGACGGCGACGGCGGCGCAGACGCGGCGCTGGAGGTCCGGCCGCGCCGCGAGGCCGCCGATGGACGCGGTCAGGTTGCGCTTGCACTCGTCCTCGCCCGCGGTGTGCGTCGCCGGCGGCAGCGGGAGCGTCGCGCGCGGGAAGAGCGCGACGAAGGACGCCTCGAGGGTCTCCATCGTGCCGATGAAGGCAAAGTCGCCGCAGCCCGCGCGGCGCACGAAGTCGACCTTGTGGGCCTGGGGCCACGTGTGCTCCGACTTGGGGTGGATCGACCGCCCGGCGTCCATGTCGTCGAGGTACGCCTCCACGAGCCGCGCCCCGTCCCCGAAGGGCGGGTAGGCCGCGTCGAGCCACGTGCCCCGCGGCTCCGGCGCGGCCTCGCGGTCGCCGCGGCGCAGCGTGCACGCGGCCTGCGCGAGGCCGCTGAGGAACGTCCGCGACGGCTCGCGCACGAAGGTGAAGGCGACGTCGCCGGGCGCGCAGCGCAGCCGGTTCGCGTCGAATTTCCGCGGCATGCTCGTCGGCTCCCCCTCGTGGTTCGTGAACGCGGACCAGGCCCACTCCGCGCGGCCCGGCCCGCCGTGCGCGAGCCCGTGGAGGTCGAGGTGCATGAACCACTCGGAGACGACCTTTGGGTTCCGCGCGTAGACGGCGCGCCGCTCCTCGACGCGCGGCGTCGCGACGAAGGCGGCGAAGACCTTGGCGCCCTGGACGTCCTTGAGCCGCGTGCCGTTGCCGTCGACGGACCGCGACAGCCACTGGAGCCGCCGAAAGGCCTCGGGGCTCTTCCGGCACGCGGCGTAGCGCTGCGCGCGCACGAGGCCGTCGAGCAGCGCGTCCGCGGACCGGGGCGCGGGCTCCCGGGCCGAGCGAGCGAGGGCTATGTTGACGACGAGGCAGCCCAGCCTCGACGCCATGCTACTCATGCTTGTGTGCCGAGCTGGTTGAGGTCGTCGGTGCCGAACTGGTGAAGTCCTGGAACACCGATGGGCTTGCAGTCGTAGAGGCGCGAGGCGTATGATGCGCGCCGTGCTCGTCGGGACGATGCTCGCCTGGAGAGCGGGTGGCTTGCAGCGCTCTCATGGATGCTGGAGCGCGGGCGGCTTGCAGCAGCGCGCCGCGCGCTCCAGCGTCGCGGCCGCGCCGCCCAAAAGCTTCGAGGCCGCGCCGCCCCAAAACATCGCGGCCGCGCCGCCCCAACCCATCGCGGACGCCAGCGAGCCCGCGTTCCGCGCCTGGCTCGACGAGTCCTTGAGAGACGCCCCTCGCCGCGACGTCTACGGCGGCATCTACGACGAGTGCGCCGCCGCGGTCGTGCGCTGGCGCCGGCGCTACCACGGGAACCCGCAGTTGTGGAAGCGGCTCATGAAGGAGCGGCTCGTGAAGGAATTGGTCGAGTGCGCGCCCGTCATCGCGGCGACGCGCGACTTCGTCGCGGAGCAGCACGAGCGGGTGACGATCGTCGACCTCTGCAGCGGCAAGGGCTACCTGAGCATGTTCCTCAGCGAACTGCTGCCGCCGGACCGCGTCGAGCGCTGCGTGCTCGTCGACAAGGCCTGGCCCCACTGCCACGCGGTTCCGAAGCCGTCGCACATCAACTGGGACCACGTCTACGGGTCGCACGACGCGCCCGACGGGACGACGACGAGCTACTTCGACGCGTGGCCCATTCGGCTGACGACGTCGAAGCAGAACCTCAAGTGCCCGTCGACGACGCGCGGCATGGTCCGGGCCATCTTCGACCGCGCGCCGGGCCCCGTCGCCGTGCTCGCCGTGCACCTCTGCGGCACGCTGTCGCTCCGCGCGCTCGACCTCTTCAACTCGCAGCCGGCGACGCAGTTCCTCGTCTTGAAGCCGTGCTGCCTGCCGCCCATGCTCCACGCGGTGCGCAACGAGACCTTCGTGGTCGGCGGGCACGCCTTCGACGCGGCGGACGTCGCGTCCCACGGCAAGTTCCGCGGCGGCGACTGGATCGGCCCGCCGCGCCGCGCGATCCAGCCCAAGTTCGAGCGATGGGCGGCGCACCTCGAGGCGGGCGCGCTCGTGCGGGCCGGCGGCCGCAAGAGCCTCGAGCGGAGCGAGGTCCAGACCAAGGGCGGCTTCCAGAACCTCTACATCTTCGCCGAACACGACCGGCCCTCGGCGAGGCTCTGGGACGGCCTGCGCGCGCGCGGCCGCATGCCGGCGCTCCGTTAATACTCGCTTACTCGGCCGGCTCCCCCTCTTCCGCCGGCGGCGGCGTGTCGTCCTCCGCCGCGGCCGCCGCCGGCGCGGCGTCGTCGTCCGCGAGGCCGAAGATGGAGACGGCGGCCGTCGCCTTGCTGAACACGTTGAAGAGCCCCTTCGTCGGCGACCGCGCGTCCGGGTTCGCCGGCCGCCTTGGGCCCTGCTTCGCGACGAGGAAATCGCCCGCCGTCGCGATGTCCATGATCGTGGCCGCTTCGGCGACGGTCCCGACCTCGGAGAGCGGCCGGAACGGCACGATCGTCTTCGCCTCGCACGCGCGCTCGAACGACGCGACCGCGTCGGCGTCCAGGGATCCGCGCAGCTCGACGCCCTTCACCTCGCAACACTTCTGCAGCCCGCGCACGCCGTCGACGGTGCACATGACGATCTGCGCGCCGCCGAGCCAGACGCGCGCGAGCGCCTGGTCGTCCCTCAGGAGCAGGCCGGGCCCCGCGCCGGGCGTCCCGCAGGCCTTGATGAACGGCGGATTCATGGCGGAGGTGGTGGTCAGGAGGCACGAGAGAGCCACCAGCATCGCGGGACCACGAACCATTGCGATCGGCAGTGGATTGCGCTCAAGCAGCCGAATTACCACTTCATCATCTTCATCATCGGCGAGCGCGCTCGAGCGGAAGCGGTATGGAGTCCTCAAACGAGCCGCCACCGCCGCCGATTGACGACGAGTCAGACGACGAAACACCGCCG